GCAGCTGCGATGGTTTGGGTATGTGCCGCAAATGCCTCCAGAAAGGAAGGCTAAGCAGTTCTTTCTTGCCTAACCCACCAGCAGAAGACCCAAGGGACGGTGAAAATTAACTCGGTGCAAATATACGGAAAGTCTGTTCGAGACTCCAGTTGTCTTCTCTCGAAGCTGAAACTATGGCACAGGATCAGGAACGTTGGAAGAACTATCTGATGCATCTCCCTGCCTGCACGAACCGAATGGAAGATGAGTGGCCGAACGTAACCCTAATATCCGTTCGTTTTCATTTTGCATTTAATTGAGATTCTGGTTTTGAAAATTCTTCTACCCCGATTGCGACGGTTCTTGCAACACTGTATTTAAATCATGAAATGACACTCAATTAATGTTCCAGTTCCGTGATTCTTAAATTTCGCGTTACACCGGAACATTTTTATCCTCTGAGTTTCATTATGTTCATCCCTCTGGTCTTCTTGCGACAGTGAGTTATTGACGGTTGTCAGCAATTGCTCATAAGCGAGGTGCATGCATGGAATTTAACAAGTTTAGTTTGAGCCTGGAAAAATCACTGAAGTTGAAGTTCATTTCTTTTTATTGTGACGAATCAACGCTTTCGTTCGATCGATTAATACTTTGATTTTAAATTCTCGCCTGGAAGTTCATACGAAAAGGTTGCGTTTTATGTCGAACAGTACAGATCTCTTTCCCAAAGACTTTCTATTATATGAAATTTCATCAAGTAAACGCTGCTGCAGTCTGCCGGTAAATTTCGACAGCATAATTTAGTACAAATCAGCTAGACATCGTATATCCGACTGAAGTAAAAGAAATCCATCTTATCGAAGGTTTTGCGCATGCGGCCACCCGGAAGGATAGGAACAGCCGCGGAACGGAATCGTGATAAAGGGGTGACGTTGCAAACGAAAGCGTGATTGAAGACGCAACGAAGGAGGTCCCAGGTTTCTATTTACCCCAAAGTGAACCGGATTCGTACAAAGCATGACAGGTGCGAAGACGTCCTACGAGAATGAAAGATCAATCAATTGTCAGTTTGTGAGGGTGACGAAATACAGTGGAGAAATACACCGACCTCCTTGTTAATTACACCCACGGAGGCAAAACGGAGGCTATGTACTACGCGGCTTAGGGGGTAGTAAAACGACGATCGAGGTTGCAGATGAAACCACGAGAAGTGTATCTTTGCCTATCTTTAACAAAGAGCATATGTATTGTCTTTCACAGTGCAATATCTGATTGGGCAAAAACACGATTTAGATTCGTTCGTCAGGCAATGGTGGTCGCATTTAATGTTCGCTTATGCTGCCCGCATGCACAAGTCATTAATGCAATTGACATCAAAATTCGGACGGTTGCTGTTCTGATGAGTCCGTCGTTCGGTTTTTGAAGCGGAATGAAGTAACAAGCGGCGTATTAAAAATTTACAACCGTTACTTACGAAAATGGCAAAACAACACACTAACTGATTAAGCACGCTTCATCACTGCATGCCTTCATAAAAAGAACTCAAATATCAGTTCGTCGGTCACAGAAAGTTAAAAAGAACTGAACTCCTCCAGATCCGAATTTGACGTATTAGTTTAACTAATAAGCCAGTGATATTAATACAAAAGTTTTTAAAGCTTTTCAATTTACTATCTGCTTGCATGTTTCAAGATAGTAATAATGAAAGACGTTAAGCAGTTTCACACTACTCACAGTTTTACACGTGCAGATGCGGAATGGGAAAAACAGAATGAAAGAGATTTATAACTACTATTAACGTACCAGTAGTAACTTACCTCATTTGCAAAGTACAACCGATATTATACTATTGGCTAAGAATGCCTCGAAGGTGCGTAAATGATGAAGTATTTAATGCAAATTAAAAGAGTGCAAGGAGCGAACATCCTTAAACTGCCGCCTAGGGCAACAACGAATCTGAACTTGTGCCGCTGACGGCCATGTGTTAGAAGAATGCGACAATAACAGGCGCCAATTCGTACCCTGTGACCTTCGATTCATTACTTTATGCAAATTGATCCTTATCTGGCCTTTATATACGTTGAGAGCGCACGACTACCTCATTGCGAGAGTTGTTGATTGTAAAGGAATAACCAGGTATGCGGATTAAATTTATGAGTCATTGCATGTGAGGCTTGCGTTCTGTTTTAGTTTTATCGTAGCGCTGCTTCTTACGAAAATGCTTGTGCAACTTACACTTTTGATGCTGCTGTTTGCCAATTCCGATACGAAAAGGACACAACATCATCAGCCCCATAATGGAACCTGCTCTAATCGACTGGCGCCTAGCCTTACCGGTGGCAAAGCGGGAAATCCAGGAATGGAGATAGTAATTACAGATATGGGAATCCGGCACTGTCTCGACAAAGGCGTTAAGGAGGTAGAAATGATGGTGCAGAACATCACTATACCTAATATCAAGGTGAATATACCGGGGGCACAAGTGCTGCTGCATGACATATACGTAAGCAAGGCGTCTGGGGGTTCATATGGCTACAAGTTGAAAAATCCGAATCAAATCCTCATCAGTTTCCATTCAGGGCAAGTCGAGTTGAAAGGCCATTGGAGTTACTACGAAACCTCGAAACAGTACAACGTGAATGGCACATTCCGGGGTACCACTATGAACGTTACTGGTTACTGTAACTTTGCCCTAACCAGAACGGCTTCTGGTGCTCCGCAGATCAGCAATGCACGAACATCAGTGACAATACTGAACGACTTTGAAGTGGAGGTACATACTAACGAAAAGACCAATCAAAGTCAAGAAACATCTCGAAGAATGATGGAAAGATATGTGAGTACACATTCCACCTTTGTCTACCGTAGCGTAACTAACATATGGTCATTAATAGTATGAACTGCCCCTGGAGCCGCTCATCAGCAAGGCACTGAAGAACTACATCACCGGACCGTATAACTCGAAGATCGGCTTGTACAGCGTTCAGCAAGAGGTCGGTCCGTCCGAAGCATCACTGACCCTGAACACCGCTCTAGCTTCTAATCCGACCATCTCGAAAAGGGGTATAGAGATGCCATTGAAGGTTACTGTGAAGGACAGGTGAGGTTTGATTTTTCCCATTGTTCAGCCGTCCTGCATTTTAGGGACAGTTCAAGAACCTCGGCGTACCATTCTTTCCGAAAAGCGTGGAAAGGTGTAACATTTCCGGTGCGTACAATTATTTGCTAATCAGCGACTACGTTTTCAACACGTTGCTGCATAACGCACACAATAAGGAGATTCTGAAAAACATCCTCATCGATGACACTTCGAACAGAAGTCTGCCTGTGGAAGCCGTTTTGAAGAAACCGTCAGTAGTTCAATTATCAGTCGGCCGATGCAACTGGTTCGCTGACGGCACGTTCAAAAGCAAGGGCAAAGGGCATCACACGAACATCAGCTGCGGGAAGTTCGAAAGTGAGGCTGAGTGCCATGTCAAGCAGAATGGGTCCCAGTAAGCGGGTTGACACTTGAGTAACCGTGGCATTTCATTTTATTCTAGGCTGCACGTCGAATTGTCTGATGTCAAAACAACCGTTACGAAACAATGTCCCTCAGAAGTGGAAGACCTGGATGAGAAGATTGCAACTACGATGAAGCAGAAGATAAACGATTTCTTTCGCCGCTACAACTTCACCATACCAACGATCCCCGACACTGAGGTCACTCAAAACAGAATCACACTCTGCACCAATACAGCTGTTGTTATTTATGAAACATCCTAGAATATGATGTTTACCAGTTTTACATTTTTTCTCGTTTCATTTTAACGCTGCAATGATGTTTTATGAAATACCGTTTTAACATTAAAATAATTTTATTAATCCTTCGTTCGGTGAAAATCTGAATACGTTTTTACACACAGGCGGAGTCGCGTAGCCCAGCATGGCAGACCTTCGTTTCAGTGTTCGATCCCTTCACTGGAGGCGAACATTTTAATTTCCATACTGGTCATCATCGTCGCCATTGTCACCGTCGCAAGTCTCTGTCGATATATAACCAACGACACAACAAGCCTCTCGATGGTCCTCTGATTTCGTTGCTTGCCAGACGCCTACAAACGCCTTTGACGACGGTACGATCAGGCGGTCGGTGAGTGGCTGCTTCCGATTGGATGCCAACAGCGACGCTACAGCGTGTCGGGTGGGGTACGGTCGTGTGGTTCGCCGTCGTCATCATCATCCTCCAAATCGCGCCAGTCTAATGTCAATACCAGCATCACCGATTGCTGCCAGAGTCTCCGAGCTCAGTGGCAGAGGTCGACTTGATGGCACCGGCGCTGTTCGGCGACAACAGCTTCGCACAACCAGTCTCTGGTACTGTCGTCTGTCCGTCGTCTTCGACGCTAGACCTCATCGTCCGAGTCGTCGTCGATTGGTCGCCATGAGTAACGGAATGTCGCACGTGATTCTTCTCCACTGGACGACCGACACCAGCCTTCACTGTACTCGGCTGACTGGTAGTCGCCGCCACCGGTTGACAGACAGAGTCGGACAACGACTGGAGCGCCTTTTCGACGTTGCTCTTGGCGGCTATGACGATTTTGCGCCTG